TTTATTTATTTATTTATTTATTTATTTATTTTTTTCGAGACAGGGTTTCTCTGTGTAGTCCTGGCTGTCCTGGAACTCACTCTGTAGACCAGGCTGGCCTCGAACTCAGAAATCCACCTGCCTCTGCTTCCTAAGTGCTGGGATTAAAGGAGTGTGCCATCACCGCCCAGCCCTATTTATTTTTAAAAACAATTTTATTTATTATATATACAGTGTTCTTTCTATATGTATGCCTGCAGGCCAGAAGAGGACACCAGATCTCATAGATGGTTGTGAGCCACCATGTGGTTGCTGGGAATTGAACTCAGGACCTCTGGAAGAAGAGTCAGTGCTCTTAACCACTGAACCATCTCTCCAGCCCAGAAGTTTATTTTTTTAATTAAATTCTTAAATAGCATTAGACATTGAACCAAGGGCCTCACACATACTTGGCAAGTGCTTTACCACTGAACCCCACTCCCAGACCCACAAACCGCACACATATACTTCTCATAGTTCTGAGGTCCAGGAAGGCCCAGGTCAAGGCTGTTTTGTGAGAGCTGCATGCTGCTTCCAAAATGACATCTGTCATATGTCCTCATTCATGGTGGATGACAAAAAGGTGACCCTCCTCCTCAACCCTTTTGGAAGGTCCCCGCTCTCACCCCTGATGACCCTGCCCCCTAACTCTCTCCCTTTGCCAATTTAAATTTCAGTATCTGAAAGGCTGGCCCTCTAAGCACCTGTCAGTGACCACCTTAGAGTGGTCCTTAGAGTATCTTGGTGGGCTGGCGTTCCCTGCTATCCTGTGTCTTCCATGTAGCCTTTCCGTGAAGTTTACTCAGGGGTTTCCATCACTTGCAACTTTAAGTTCATGGGATCTTGGCCCCTGTGTTCTCAGAGCTCCTGTCAGAGTGAGGTATGGACCCCCACATGTACCCTCTTTGTCCACACAGCCATTAACAATCTCACCCAGAGGAATGGGCACACACACGCAGAGCCTCACCATCTTGGTGGTACCGCACGTCTCTTTAAGTGGTCTTTGACGCACTCGTGGCCTGGTGACGTTCTGTACCCGCTCATCGGTGCACAGAAGCCAACGAGTAGTGGATCTCCCTGGCCTTGGTGCTCTGTGTCCAGCTCAAAATATCTGATAAAAATAGCTGATGAGTAAGAACCCGGGTGGGAAGTGAGCCAGCAGCCAGAGACAGACACAGTCAGGAGAGCCCAGGGCTCTGCATGGAAGGATCAGACCAGCAGACCACTGACACTTCTGTCTTGCAGCCTGATGTCACTCCTCAGCAGCTTGCTTGGTCCCTGGAAGGAGAGCATGGGCTCAGGGTACACTGCATGTCTCTCCATGTCCCAGAACAGGCCTTTTCAGATCTGGCTCCCTCAGACCTAGAAAGACTTTCCCTTTGTCTCAACTTCCCCAGACTCCAACAGCTCTCCCATGTCACAGGGGCATTCTTGATAGTATTTCCCAGGAAATCTGTGGCTAGTCCCTCTCCTGGGGACAGTGACATGGACCTTGGTCCTTTCTCTTCTGGAACGTCCCAGGCACCCACGACGCCCACGTTACCATTATTCAGATACAAAGGCTGTAAGTTTCCTCTTTTCCTTTTTAAAGAAACTACATCCTGAGATTGCAAAAGTCTGGGAAGTCTGATTAGAGTGGAACTTCCCGAGAGCCCTGTGGCCCTGGCAGCTCCTGTGTTAGTCCTTGGTGTGACATGCTCCAATGATTTCCATGTTAACCGTTTAATGATTTAAAAAATAGGGGTGGGGATGGGGAGTTGGCTGTGATGGTTGCCATTGGAGGGGCCCTTGGCATCACAAAGGTTAGCAACTTTCTCAAGGCAACAGACAGGAGGTGCCGGAGTTTTGAATTCACTCTGACTGGCTCAGGATGACACCAACCAGCAAGAGAAAGGTATCGTTTGCCCCATGGGTGTTCTTCAGAGAGGTTTATGTGACCTGAGTGAAGGCACACAGCTGAACCATGTGGATGAGGACTGAAGTCTGTCATGACTCATGGATGGTGCTCATCACTAGGTTAGGTGCTCATCACTAGGTTAGGTGCTCATCGCTAGGTTAGATACTCATCACTAGGTTAG